ATGGGCACCTGTGATGAGCACTGGGTGTTGTATGTAAGGATGACTCACTGAATTCTACTCCTGAACCCAATACTGCATGGTATGCGCCCACTAACTAGGATTTAAATAAAAACCTGAAAAGGAAAAAAAAAAAAAAAAACCCAAAAGCCAAAAACCAAGAGCTGTGGAGAACATGAACTAAGCACTCACTTTAAGGGCTCAGGAGACAGTTTGGTGCCAGAAAGGTTCAGCTGCATCAGAGACAAGGAGCTACTAAAAAACTGCTTGAAGGAGGGGGGCACTTCTTTTCCTTTCCTGAAAAACAAAACGGGAGGGTCACAGGAGCAGGGATGCTTCCGGCCTGGTACCCCGCTTCCGGCTTGGTGAAATTCCCCGTTGGTTACTGGGACTCTGTGAAATAACCTGGGAATCCATTATATTTTCGGGAGAAAATCAAAGGTAAGAAGAAACAAAATGTCTCAAAGCCAAACAAAGCCAACACCATCAAAGGAGTGATGTCAGAGAAGCTAAGACATTTCATAAAGTCCTTAAAGCTACCGCTATATTCTTTGTAGCCAATGGGCTCATTGTGTTTTACCCACAGATCTCCACTTGTACAAATTCCAACACATTCATCTGGGGATGGCTATACTCATTGTTCATACTTGCTTCCAAGTTCATTGTTGAGAAGTGCCTTCTAAAAGAGTTTATACTGTGGACGCCTGGGTGGCTCAGTCGGTTAAGCGTTTGACTTCAGCTCAGGTCATGACCTCACAGTTTGTGAGTTTGAGCCCCGCATCGGGCTCTGTGCTGACCACTCAGAGCCTGGAGCCTGCTTCGGATTCTGTGCCTCTGTCGCTCTCTGCCCCTCCCCGGCTCACACTCTTCTCTTTCTCTCTCTCTCAAAAATAAATATTAAAAAAAATTTTTAAAGAGTTTGTACTCTATTAAGGGACAGTGCCCGTCCACATAAGAGCAGCAGTTATCAGACAGTTCTCACAGGCAGACTGGGGTCACCGAGAACATCAGACTACCGTGAGAAAAGATACAAAAACTTGCACTTTTAAGGCTCATATTCATAGATGATGGTTTAAGGTCACCTTCCTTCACGCACAACACGCATCCCTCATCCTTCCATTTCCACCTCGCTACAACCTTCTCTGAGAGGAAGGCAGTCCTAGGTGACAGTGATGGAGGTACAAACCCATACCGGTGAGAAAAGACAGCTCTGGAGAGGTTGAGCACAGCTAAATATTGAAGGCATCCTCGGAGAAGAGCTGTACAGACCTGAAAAAGAAAGAAGGCACTCTTAGTTCCAAGTATTTCTAGATCTAGGGGAATATTTTGTTAGAGAGAAAGCCCTCTGTATCCCGCCCAAATGGCTGTTCTGGGACCGCCAGAGCAATGTCAAAAAATATTACCATGTCCAGGGAACATTCGGTATTGGATAAATCCAGGTGAGCAATGGCATTTGGCTGGGCCAAAAAATTGTACATGGACTTGAAATAAAAAAAAAACAAACAAAAAAAACCACATTAGGATCTGGAAACACACACACACAGTCAATATTTTAAAATGAAGTTGCCCAAATCCTCCCGTATCCATTCTCTACTCTTCCCAAGAGGATTAGCAGAATTTAATGTCATTCCATTGCCTTCCCTGAGAGCAGTATTGCAAAGAATTTTTAAAATAAAATTATGTTTGGGGCGCCTGGGTGGCTCAGTCGGTTGGGCGGCCTGACTTCAGCTCTGGTCCTGATCTCACAGCTCGTGAGTTCGAGCCCTGTGTCGGGCTCTGTGCTGACAGCTCTGAGCCTGGGGCCTTCCATTCCTGTGTCCCTCTCTGCCTCCCTCCCTGCTCACACGCCTGTCTCTCTCTCAAAAGCAACAAACACAGGGCTTCGGGTGTGGGCGAGCGTCGGCTGAGCTGCCCCACTTCAGCTGGGTCACGAGCGGTCTGTGAGTTCGAGTTTCCTGGCGCCAGGCTCTGGGGCTGATGGCCTGTGAGCCTGGAGCCTGTTTCTGATCTCTGTGTCTCCCCTCTCTGCCTCCCTCAGCCTTCATGCTTCCACTTCTTGTCCAAAAATAAATAAATGTTGAAAAAAAAATTAAAAAAAAAAAAATAAAACACAAAAAACTTAATTTTTTTGAATAAATACGCTTTTTAGCTTAAAAAAAAGCCAAAGGAACTCTTGGCCACCAACCCCCTTTTTGTTACACATGACTTAGTTTTCCTGATTAGCTCCATTTTCATCATTTTGGAGCGATGCTAATTAATTGTAACTGCTGAGATTAAAACATCACCTGCATAGCACTCGCCCTATCAAAATGCTAATCACTTTTGAAAGTGTTCAAAGATCCACCAACTTCAGTTTGCACCCTAAGATGGTCTCAGGCTGTACTCTCTTCTGTCCAACACCGTGATTTTTCTATCCTTAGTTACTTCCGAAATCTAACAAGAAAGGGTCTGACGGCACTATTCGCTTAGGTTTAATCTCACATAGAGCTAAGACACGTCAGCTTTCAAGGGGTCACGGTGCCTAAAGTCTCTCCTTATTCCTGTGTAAGACCATCAAACAAGTTTAAGAGCCCTGTTCTTCTCTAATCGCCCCGTGTTGAGTAGAAACTTCCAGAGTCCACGATAACCAACCGAGTCCAAGCTCCCAACACCAGGCAAATAGCTAACGGTCCTGTGCCTCACTGGATGTCACCAGGTCCTTGCAAAAACAAACAAGCTTACGCTGAGATGCCCTCGTCCTTAGCAAAGACTCACAGTGCAGCAGCTTGGCTATACGATGCCTGAGAAAACTCCTCTCTACCAAGGAACTCAGAAAAGCAAATGATTAGCCTGTAAGTACTTTCACTAGACACACACACACACACACACACACACACACACACACACACAGCAGACTGCACTATGAGAAGTTCTGATTCAGAAAAATAATTTGCTCTCGCTTCCCTAAAGATCTCTGCTTCTCTCAGGCTTTGCCTGTGGTTTTACTCCCGGCCACCGGCTGGGGGAGCTCTAATCACCCTCCATTGGTGACAAGACCCTACTTGGCCAACACTCGTCCAAAGAGGCAGGTCCCGCTAGGCTGCTGGCCCTGAAGGCACGGGGCTGGGTAAGCCCCTCCCTGCACCTGCTGCAGGGATCCCAGAACATCAGCCTGTCTGGGGCTGAGGCCTACTCACCCAGGCCTCATCATTCTACTTCTTCCCCAGAGGCAAGCTGGGGGACAAGACCCACTCCTGGCCAGAGAAAAAGTCCTGAGCTACTTTGCTCTCTTGAGTGACTACTAATGCCCCTATGTTAGCAGAGTCTTTTTATTTAATCTTCAGACTCTCTTTTATTGCTCTCTCTAGTCCTCTACTTTGTCACTGTAATGTGTTAGTGGTTTCACACTGGACTCCTTGTTTCATCTTGGGAAGGAGCACATTTACGAATCATCACTGAAGGTGACAACTAAAATGGGGCAACGCATGGAAAAAGCCGTGGTCCCTCAGGGGGGGCAAGTGAGTGGCTCAGCTGGTTAAGCGTCTGGCTTCAGCTCTGGTTGTGATCTCACGGTTCATGAGTTCAAGCCCCCGCGCTGGGCTCGCTGCTGTCAGCCCAGAGCCTGCCTCGGACCCTCTGTCCCTGTCTCTCTCTGTCCCTCCCCGGCTCACACTCTCAAAAATAAACAAACATTAAAAAAAAAAAAAAGTCATGGCATCCCAGGAAACAGAATTGCTTAAAATGATTTCGAGTATCAGGCAGAGGGGAAAAAAGTCCTACAAAAAGGACAGTGGCAATCTTCCTTGCCTTACAGGGAAAGCCACACATGAGAGACGTAAGAAGGCACGCTCCAACTTCCTTAAAAAGTGGCCCCAATTTATTGCCGACTCTCCACTCACCCTACTATGTTTGTGGAATATAGGAGAGGACTTTATGCCCATATCCTCCTCCAACTAACTATTAAAAAACTCACCTGTCTCAACAGTATTATCTAATGACAAAATCATTCAGTTTACATTTCCAATCTCTCTTATCAACTTTCATAGGCGCAATAATGGTTCAAATGAAGAGAAAAGAGGTCCGTCAGAAAAAGCATATCCAAAAAGAATTTGTCGTTCAGCAACATTAAGTGAAGGGGGTAAATATACCTGTGTTAGACTACACTTAATTAAGGAAGGCTCTGGAATTTTTCTCTAAAACAGCTCGTAAGCTCATAACTAAATGATGTGAAAGTGTTATAAGGGGAGATGAGGAAAGCCATGTTTGGAAATTATTCCAGGCTTATGGAATACAGCGTCTTTGAACCTGCCCGTGGGGAAGGAAAACCTACCGAGAGGTCATCTCCGCGGAGGACGTTCCCTGAGAGGTCGAGATGGGTAAGGGTGGTGGCGGTCAACAGGTTGGCACTGAGGAACTGAGAAAGGCTATTCACCCCTGCAACACGGAGAAGATCCAGGCTCAATATCCATTCCAGGGAACACAATGAGGTTTGGGAGTTTCTATACATGACCCAGCAGCCACATCAAATGGCAGGACTGAGGTTACCCACAGGTACCGTCCCCAAAAGGTAGGAGTATCTTCTTTTGACGTCCCCTCAGAAAGAACAGGTTATTCACAGACACAGCCCTCTCACCGAGTAGGGGAAAGAGACAGAATTGGCTTCGTTCAGCTCTTCTTCTGATGTGGACGGGAAGGATTTGACTTTGAAGTCTTAATATGATGCACACAAGTCTGACTGGTCATTTCTATCTTTCTCTTAATTCTGCCAGGTGTTCCTGATTTAGCGCACAGGATTTAAGCGAGGTGGGTACATATTTCGGCACTTCAGCCTATTTAAAGTGCTTAGAAGCTGGGAGGGAGGAGCCAAGATGGCAGAACAGCATGGAAGTTTTTTGTGTGTCTCATATCCATGAAATACAGCCAGACTAACACTAAACCATCCTACACTCCTGGAAAACTGACTGGAGGATCAACACAACAATCGGCACAACCTGAACCACAGAATTCAGCAGGTACATGGCACGGAGAAGTGACCTTGGGGAGAGAGAAGGCGCAGGAAGGGAGGTGCTTTTGTGAGTGGAGAGAGGATGGAGACTGGGAGAGGGAGAATACGGGAAAAGCCCCCCTCCCCAAAAGCCGCTGGAGAGAAAGTGGAAAATTGGAAACAGCTGCAGGGACTAAACTAAAGTACTTAGAAGCTAATACTGGATGTAGATCACTGGTCTACATAATATATCGTTTACGTACTCAGGGCAAAATTCAGAGGGAAATGAATTTTTACAAAGAGCGAAACAAAATGATCGGTATACAATGTAGGAAAGAAGCGGAAAGAAAAACGGATAATTAACACTCCATACACTGCTTACACATGAAACGTAAATGGCTCAAGTCAAAGTCAACTGAGCTGAACCGAACGGGTATTACCAACCTCCAAAAACAAAGAATAAATACACAAGGAGGGCAAGAATGTTCCATGAGGACAGAGCCACGTTCTTTTCTGTGTGGGTAACAGTCATGGCCTGTTGGCCTTGCAGGAGGCAGCTCTTCATCAGGCCGCTTCTCTCCAAGAGGGATGAGAGGCTCTAGGAGGTTCCCACTGCATACAAAATGGGGGCCCAGACAGTCTGGTGGCTCACTGGGCTTCAAAGAGGTCAACAAACACATCAGCACTGATGCTCATTCTCAAGGTAACGGGGACATGGGATACGGCCAAGCTCCTCACGTTTCTACAGTTCACGGTTCCAATCTATGTATTTTGGAAATATGGCTATTTCTAAATTGGATGCACATTTGTAATTCTTTTTCCAGTAACATTCTCCTTGAAAACCCCAGCCTGTCTTAACCACCCTACAGGGAGACAGGGAAGGGGGTGTTCGTCCACCTCGCACAGAGTCTTCCTCAGGAGAAAGGACGAGGGTGGGGTCTTCCAACGACAGCCAGAACTGGTCACAGCGGCAGGCTGCAGCCAGGCGCTCCAAGAAAGAAGCAGAGGGTTCCAAATACAGCCCCACCCCGGAGCAGTCCTCTGCTCTAACTTTAGAATGCCTGGTGTATCATACTGATGAAGGGGTTATTATCTTCTCTTTTGGGTAAGACTAGGTAGTTACAAGAACCCACTGCAGGACGTGCCTGATAAAGGCGAGTGAGCCACTTCTCAAGGGTGAGGGTGCACTTGGGTACGCAGAGGGAGAAGACGCAGAGGTGTGGAGGGAAAACATCCTAGTTAAGTCCTGGGGGTGGGGGAGAAATTCTTGGCGGTCAATTCAACATTTATTTAGCACTCATAAAACATTTATAACTGCTGGGGATTGGGAAATAAACATAAATAAGATCCATTCGTTACCCTCAAAAACTTCCAAAGGCCATCAAGAAGGAAAAGGAATAAATTCCAGCATGAAACATCAGACTACACAAGAAATACCTATTCACTGCCACAGAACTTTATCGAAAGCCTACTGCCGACCAGGCATGGGCTCCGGAGGCCCAGGGGGTCCTATCTTACCCTCTAGAAGCCAGTGCGGTGGGAGACACAGTCAAGTAATCACTATCCGGTGAGGTCAGTACCATCAAAGAGGTTAAGAAACAGGTGCAGGGCAATGAAGAAGCTGGAGATTTGATGAATTACGCGAGATAAAAGGAACTTGTAATGGACTCTAGAAGGTGAATTTCTGAAGGTAACGCCTACGATTCTTTAAATGACCAACTTCCTTCAGTCTGCACTATTCCGCAGCGTTAGCGTGCCTCGCAACGGCGTAACCCGGAGAATACCAGACTCTCTCTCGTCAACAAAACCATTTGTAAAACCACTTCCTGAGGGAGGTTATACCAAAACTTGAGAAATAAATTCCGAAATCAGAAGGTCAAATTAGTCTCGACAGCAAAACGCTCCTTGATGAGCGCGGGTGCTTGGCAGCAGGCCAACATCTGAACGGAATCAGGAGAGAATTACGTCCTCCACTCGGCTTCGTGCTCCCAAAGCAGAATGAAGGACTTCCTCTCCCACCTCTTGAGGCCACATCCACGTGAGGCCCGTGTTAACAAGCACACTAAGAGCAGGAAATTACAAAAATATAGGATGGAAACAATCAGGGCTCTTACAGCCCAAACTAAACACAGATTTACATGCCGTTCTCGATTCTGGCCGTCTAGTGATTGTGACCGTTCTTTGTATTTATTATTGGAGTGTTTACAGCTGGAGAAAAGGTGGTACCAGATGGCCCTGCCTTGACATAATCTGGCAACCAGCAGGACATTTACTAGAAATCCAGAAAACTCTCATTGAGCTAACATCTGAGGAAGAGAAAGGGTATTTGGAGACAGTGGGGATGTCATGGGGAGATTTAAAAAAAAAAAATCTGTCTTGAATTACGGAGCCATGAACGTAAATGTTTTCATAGAATTAAAATACAAACGTTAGTCAAATTCAGCAGAAGATTAAAACTGCAAAGGAATCTGAGTTATTGTGAATCTGCAAACCTTTCAGATACAATGGGAAAAGTCTGCAAGAATAATGAAATCCTTTTAAGAAATCCATTAAAAACAAAATCCCCAGCATTTCAAGATATCCATCTTAGGAAGGGAAGCGTAAAATCATCTGGGCCACAATATCATTAAACAATATTAATTCTCAAAACACGCATTTTATTGCAGAGAAGAGAGAAACATGGTGTGGTGACCTTTACTTGTGAAGGAAGGTCACCCCCAAGGAAGAGGACGGGGCCCCACCCACTCTCACGACGCCTGAGACATAGGAACACAGCGAGTGGTGGCATGGAGGCACCCCAGACCCCACACTTGTCCTTGGGACGATAAATGATCTCCACATCCCCCTATCTGTTTCACAGTAATGAACACATACATTAAAATAAATAAATTCAAGTTGTTTTTTAAAAGTACCTCTATTCTAAAAAGAGACCACACAGCATGGTGATTATAGTTAATACCGTACTGTGTACTTGAAAGCTGCTAAGAGTAGAATCTTAAAAGTTCCCATCACCTGGGGGAAAAAAAAATACAACTATGTGTGTTGATAGACGTTAGCTCGACTTACTACGGTGATTGTTTCTTCACAATAAATACAGATATCAAATCATTACGTTGGACGCCAGAAACTAGTATCATGTTATATGTCAATTATACCTCAACAAAAAATAAATAAATTTTAAAAAGTTATGGGGCATCTGGGTGGCTTAGTCATGTAAATGTCCGACTCTGGATTTTGGCTCAGGTCATGATCTCACAGTTTATTGGGTTTGAGCCCTGCGTCGGGCTTTGCACACTGACCTCACGGAGGCTGCTTGGGATCCTCCCTCTCTCTCTGCCCCTCCCCTGCTCTCTCTCTCTCTCTCTCTCAAAATAAATAAATAAACTTAAAAAAAAAATTTTTAAGTGACACCTATGGACACATGATGAATGATTAATACTTTTAACATGTAGGGAATTCACATAAATTAAGAAAAAAGGTTAATATGGCAAACAGAGAGGCAACGATGGATGGAAACTAGCAACTTCCTTCAAAAGAAAGACACGTGACTAAGATATGGGGGTGGGCTAAGGCGGGGGGGAGAATACACCTAAGCACTAAGAGAAGAAAGCCAAATTAAAGTATCAGAACACTTTGGCTGATGTGATTGACAAACAACGGAGGAGAACAGCATCGAATGGCGGTGGGAACGTGGAGATTGGTACAGATAACTCAGAGGACAGCTTGACAATAAACATCAAAAGAAAGCTTTACAAAAATGCACACCCTTTTTGATCCAGTAGTTCTATGTAATTTCTCCTAAATAAGTAACAAATGATCGATAATAACACAGGGAAGTCATGTGAGCACTGTGTGCATTACTGAAGAATTAGAAACCAAGTAAACGTATGGTCACAGATCATTTATGTAAAGTAGGGAACGTCTTCCACGCACTGGAACGGTATGAAGCCCCTGAGAGTAATCAAGGGTTTGCGGTCACAGCGGATCACAATACACTCCTGGGTGGGAAGAAAAGTTTATGAAATGGTAAGTGTAGTGGAATACCATATGCGCACATGCGTCTGTACGTAGGCATAGAGATAAACTACGTACAGACAGAACAGTATGGAAGCATGGGCGCCGAGCTGTCAACAGTGACAGTCTCGTCATGGTTTGGTGACGGCATTGCGAGGAATTGTGGCCTTCTTATTCACGCTTTGCAGGATCTTCTAAGTCTCTGCCGTAAACTGACAGTGCGTTGATGATCATCAGAAGGTTTCTACGAAACAGATTAGAAGTAGAGAGTGGTAACATCGTGGGCCCGCACTCAGCTTGATGATCTCTGGACAGCTTCAGGCATCAGCACAGGGAACAAGGACTCCTGGAAAAATGTTCCCCTTTGAAAAGTCACCTTGGCGCCTAAATCTAAATGTCTGCACGTGAAATCATGGGGCTTGCACAAACCAGCCCAATTTGAAATCATTCTTAGAGTAACTGTATGGTCGGCATGGGTAGGACATCACCAAGGGACCACTGTGCTCTACCTGTGACATATTCGGTAAGAACCCGCAATGGCCCAGCGCCAGGGACACGGCAACGCATGAGGCAAAGCCCTGACCGTCCGGAAGCTCCGGGCTAGGACACAATCAACACACCGTGGGAAACGTGCTAAAACAGGAATTTGCCAAGGGCTATGGGACAGAGAGGGAGGAGAATCTGACTGCGCGGGGTGTGACTGAGAGAAGGCTTCAAGGAGAAAGTGAGACACAAGCTCAATCTTGAGCGGGAGCAGGAATTCACCAGATCTGTGGGTGCGGACATCGGGGTTGAAAGCATGTGACAACATGTGACACAGCAAGATGCTGCGGACGATACCGATGATGGTGGTACAGGCCCCTGTGCCCTCTGTATGTATATTAGCTACTTGGTGTCCCCTGCCTCTGATGAGGTAGCTACGCTTAATTCCATCTCAAATGATCGCAGTGGAACCAGGCCCTTTACAAGACAGGTTCGCAGTGAAATCCCCAGGCCCCCTGCTTGAGAACTGACACTCAGGCCCTCCGCATACAGCCCTCGAAAGACAGTGATACGTTTAAGAAATGCCAAGTCTAGCGCCTTGGCCTAGCTGGCCGGTTGAGCGTCCAACTGCTCAGGCTCACGATCAGCATCGTTCAGGAGCTTCAAGCCCCATGTCGAAGTTCTGTCCCATCACTCAGAACCCACTTTGACATCCTTCTGTCCCATCTTCTGCTCCCTCCTGCTCGTGGCTCTCTCAACAATAAACATTAAAAAAATATATGTCAAAAAAAAGAAATGGCACATTGTTCAATTCAAGAAACTGTCATTAAACACGACCGTGGCCCAGGCACTGTGCCAGGCGCCGGAGACATGGAGATAAGAGGGGACAGGTAGTCTTCAGGAGGGGCCAAGATAGTTAGTAAATGCTCAAGATGGGAAGTAATAATGGGATTTAATCAAGGTTGTAGAAGTACTGTGCCGAGCACTCTCACTGAGGCTCACGGAAGAGGAAGATTATGTCTCAGAAGAGACAATCACAAATGAGTGTTTTATTAAAAAAAAATAAAAAAAAAAGCTGAAGCTCTCCAAGAATTTAAGGTGATGTGTGAGAGAATAGAAAATACACATATATTGGTCTCTGCCCCATTCCTGGCACAGAGCTCCCTAAACCCTTGGAATTTCCCAAGTCATAAGAGCACTGGGGACATCTTTTGTTCTAATGGGGTGACCCTGGGTGGGATCCTGGATGCAGCTGGTCCCCACAGTGACCAAACCATGATTAGAAGCTTGAAATTTTTAAGTTCCTCTACCTCCCACCTCCAGGAAGAGCGCTGGAGACAGAGTTAGTCATTGATCACGTCAGTTTGAGGGAGCCTCCCTACAATGTCAATAGCACAGGTTCTGGGGACTTTCCAGGCTGGCGAACACATCCACACCAGGAGGGGGGAGCACCCCAGCTCCACAGACGCTCCTAGCTCAGGACCCTATCAGACCTCACCTGGTTGCTCCTCTGTGTCCTTCATCATATCCTTTAAGAGACGAGTAAACACGAGTGCTTCCCTGAGTTCTGTGAGCCGCTCTAGCCAATGAATCAACCCCAAGGTGAGGTCTCTGGAACTTCCAATAACCTAGGCTTGCAAATGGCATCTGGAGGGGAATGGGAGCAATCTTGCGGGACTGAGCCCTTAATGTGCGGGCTCTGATGCAACCTCTGGGTAGATAGTGTCAGAACGGAGTTAAATTGTGGGTCACCCAGCTGGCGTCACAGAGAATCGCTTGGTGTGACTGAAAACCTCCATGCATCTGGTGACCAGAAGCATCAGAAGGGAAGTGCTTGGTGCGAATAGTCAAGGAGGCAAACGGGAAAGAGAGATACGAGATACGAAGGAGGGAAAAGGCAGGTTTCCCTGTATAGGAAGAGAGAGAGACTTTGCAAGCAGAAGCCAAAGCAGGTACAAAGGCACAATGCCTGCAGCCGTATTTCGAGTATTACAGGGGTGCTAACGTGGAAACGTTAAGAGAACGGGCAGGATTTGCTGAGCAACTAGATCCCGGAGAGGAGGGTAAGTGGGGTCAGAAGAGAACCCGGCAAAGGAAAGGCAACTTCCAGAGCAGGAGAGAGGGGGCAGAGTTACAGTGTGACTGGGGAGAGACCATCCATCTGACAGCAGGTTTTTAAGGGGGCGGGGGCAGGGGAAGCAGAGGGGAAGGCTGAAGTTCTTCCAAGGATGAGTCAAGAAAACACAACCAGCTGCCTCTGGGAATGTGAGGCCGGAGGAAGCAGCACTCCCTGGCTGAAAGTGAAGAAGTTATAAAGACTGTATTTCAAAATGATTCTCTACTCTGAAAGCATTTCGCCTTAGACAATGAGCACTCCAATTACAGAATTTCTTTATCTTGTAACAGAGAACTGCGATACGTATGCAGGTACATAACTGAGTAATAATTCTAACTTTTGAAAGGTAGCATGGTGTAGCAGAAATATCACAGACATAAAACAAATAAGATATACTGTACCTTTAGGTGACAATGAGGTTTTAGATAAATTTAAATGCTTTAATCCCTTTGGGAGTTTGGCAAATTGAATACTTAAAGAGGATACACCTGAGAAAGGAAAAAAAAAGATTATTAACATTTTCAAGTTCTCAGAATTGCACTCGTTTTATAAGGACTAAAAATTAACCTAAACTTGATTCCAATTTAAGTGGAATCATTCTTTCTTTCTAACATCAGACTTTATTTTCTAATTATCTACCATCACACATCTTTTTTTTTTTTTCATCCTGCGGAAAGGATAGGAAAAAAGGAAGACTGTTTAATTAAGCATAACAATATCAAAACTTTACCATTAGAGATGTGTTTCTTTGAACTGAAGTGTTACCCTCTTCTCTATAGTCCTATTTCAAATGCAAATACTCAGGAAGAGTGACATAATTGCTTCTTTTTAACCTGTGTCTTAATGAGTTGATCACTCCTCTGGGTGAGCACATGCGTGCTACTTAATTATTGTCAAGAAAATGGTATAACGTTAACTATTCAGATAACAGCTTCACTTTTAGCACACGGATTCCAATACTTAATTAGCTTCTAGCTAACAACCGCAGACAAAGCATCTGAGTGTGTTTATCTTCTTAAAGGTGGGCTTTGTAACTTGAAAATTCACAGTATCAAAAACCAGATAGCCTCTAAATTGAAAGACCAGACCGGGAAATGGCGAACCCTAGTTCATCCATTCAAGGATTGCAATGACGACAGACTTTCCCCGGGAGGAGTAAGTGATACGTGACTCTATGTCCTTCTTATAGGTCTTTGTACCAACTTCCTGCTACATGTGAGTTATCACCTTCCCAGGGGCATGTCCCTGGGAAGGTTCCTGAAACAATATTAACCATATGGTCTCCTAGACTAATTCTCAAATTCCATGCGCTGATAAGGAAATACCAAGCTCGTGGCTGCCCTATTATATAACCCCAAATTCTCTACACATTTTATCAAAGTTTATCAAGAAATAACTACTGTAGAAAGAATCTAAAGGTCATGCAGCTTGACTAAGCGTCTAGACAGGTGTCTCGCCAAGGATGGTGGGAGTTCTGAGAGCCCGTATTTACCTCCCCATAGCATTTCCCAAATAAGTTTGAAAATCACTGGATTGGGGCGCCTGGGTGGCTCAGTTGGTTAAGCAGCCGACTTCAGCTCAGGTCATGATCTCTCGCTCCATGAGTTCGAGCCCCGCGTCAGGCTCTGTGCTGACAGCTCAGAGCCTGGGGCCTGTTTCAGATTCTGTGTCTCCCTCTCTCTGACCCTCCTCCGTTCATGCTCTGTCTCTCTCTGTCTCAAAAATAAACGTTAAAAAAAAAAATTAAAAAAAAAAAAGAAAATCACTGGATTAAATTATGTCAAACGGGTCTTTTTTTTTTAATGTGAGTATTTTTAGAGATTTGAATATGCTAATCCATATTGTTAATTACAAAGAGGGAGCAGGCTATTTAGTTGACACTTTCTTGTAAAAGAATGTATCACTTATAAGTTAACCGGGATAGAGGGAAAAGGGGATCATTCTATTATTTTTTTAAAGTTTGAGCGAGACAAAAACAGCATGAGCAGGGGAGGGGCAGAGAGGGAGGAAGACAGAGAATCCCAAGCAAGTTCCACACTGTCAGTGAGCCGAAAGCAAGAGTCTGACACTTAACCAACTGAGCCACCCAAGTGCCCCGTGGGAGTCACTTTAAAAGTGTAATTAATCCAAAAGGAAGAAAAGGAGAAAAAAATAACAAAGACAAAAAGGGAAAAAAAGAAAACAGACATATTATAGATTGCCATACAGAAAAATCAATAATTACAATCAATGTAAATGTACTAAATACTCAAAACAAGCAAAAAATTGATTATCTAAATAAAAATATCAGATGCTTTTTTAAAAAAATTGTTTTAATGTTTATTTTTGAGAGAGAGAAAGACAGAGAGAGAGAGACAGAGCGCAAGCAGGGGAGGGGCAGAGAGAGAGGGAGACACAGAAACCGAAGCAGGCTCTAGGCTCTGAGCTGTCAGCACAGAGCCCAATGCAGGGCTTGAACTCATGAACCATGAGATCATGACCTGAGCCAAAGTCAGACACTTAACTGACCGAGCAACCCAGGCACCGCTCAGATGCCTTCAAGAAACAGAAATGCAGTACGTGTATTCAGAAGCGAACCTAGAAGCATATAAAAAGATGTAAGCAGAAAACGCTAACCAAAAGAAAACTAGTATATCTGCAATAATAAAAGACAAAGTAGACTTTAAGAGGCATAGACACAATTGAAACATTTCACTAATAAAGAAGATGTAATAATTTAAAATCCGTACGGTCTGAAGAACACAGTCTCAAAACGTATAAAGTAAATCCAATGGTAACAACAGGAGAATACATAATTATATACACGCATATATGTGTGTGTGTGCCATACCTCACAACAATGGGAGAGTTTTAAACACATCTCTGTAGATGATAAAATGGACACAAAAAGGGTATGAAGACACAGATCGTGTCGAGAACACAATCAAAAAAAGACGTATATTTAAAACACTGTACCCAACAACGGTAGAATACATTTCTTCAAAGTCCACGTGGAGCCTTTATTTACCAAAAGTGACAATATCCTGAGCTCAACAAATAATACAGAGGATGTTCCTTAACTACTGTGAAATCACAAAGCATATTCTCCAAGTGCTACCACTATTGGGAATTAACATAGGAATTACAGCAAAAAGATAATTAGAAAAATCCCCAAATAATTAGACCTTAAGCAATATATTTCCAAATAACAAACGAGCCCCCCCCCAAAAGAGATTTCCAAATTCTTTTCCAAAAATGGAAATCTTAAAAATATTTTGATTTAAAATTTTTAAAACTATGATATCAACATTTTAGGGATACAATTAAAGCCATGCTTAGAGTAAAATTTATACTCCTAAATACTTATGTTAATAATAATAATAATAATAATAATAATAATAAAGCTGGAAACTAATTATCTAAGTATCCCTCTCAAGATATTTGGATTAAAAAAAGCAAACTAACCCCCATTTCATCCCCAAAAACGGGAGAAAAAAGGGTAAGAAAGGGAAGAAATCTATTAAATAGAAAGCAGACGTAAAATAAGTGAATTTAACAAATCCTTTTCTTCAAAAAAAACTAATAACATTAATAAGCCCCATCAAGACTGGTTTAAAAAAAAAAAAAAAAGGAGAAAGAGAAGGATCAAACTATCAAACTGAGAAGTGGAAAAAAGAAAAAAAATACCAGTAGAGATTCTACAGACATTGCAAATATAACTAAAGGATGTTAAATTTTTTCTGTAGGTCAAAAATGTATCGTTTTAGAAGAAATGGACAAATTTGTCATGAAAAAAACAATTTACCAAAACTTACATAAGGCGAAATACTCTCAATACTCTTTATCGATTCAAAAAAATAAATGCATGATTAAAAACCTCTCCACAAAGAAAAGCAAAAGTTGCCAAATATAAAAAAAATGTATATTATATAATGCTATATTTATGAAGTTCAAGAAGAAATAAAGCGAACCTATCCAATCGTAACAGAAGTCAGAATCAGAGCCATCTTTTCCGGGTGGTAGAGGGCAAAACACTAGGGAAGCTTGTGAAGCACGAGTAACGTTCTATGTCTCATTCTTGGTAGTGGTTCCTGCAGAGTGCTCACTTTGTAAAAACTCATTAAGATGTAAACTTGTGATCTGTGGACTTTTCTGAACGTACGTTAGGCGTCAGTGAAAAAACTTACTTCCAAATTTAGGCACGGAAGGTAAGAAGGAGGAGAAAATGTAGATGACCATGGGTATGGCAATGTCTCTTTAGATACGACCCCAATGGCACATTCCACGAAAGACCTAACTGACAAGCTAGACTTCGTTAAAACTAAGAAGTTCTGTCCTGCAAAAGGCAATGTCAAGAGAATGAGAAGGCAAGCCACAGAATGGGAGCAAATGTTTGCAAGGACCGTTATCCAAAATACACAAAGAGCTCTCAAAAGTCAACAATGATAAACAAACCATTTACAAATGCGCCAGAGACCCAACGGAACCCTCACCAAAGAAGTTACAGAAATGGCAAATAAGCATATGAAGAGATGCTCCACACGCTAAGTCATCAAGGAAATGCAGAGTAAAGTAACAGTGAGATACCGCTACCCAACTATTAGAACGGATTAAAATCGTTAGAGGCTCATCGACTGTCACAACCGTGCCACTCTGATGGGACGCTGATAACTAGGGAAGCTATGCATGTGCAGCCAGCA